AAATAAGGTAGGATAAGATGGACCTTTATTCATCCCTGTTTGTGGGTGGCTGTGGCTAAGTGGATAGAGTGCTGGACTTCAAATCAGGGGATAGCAGGTTCGAGTCCCACTGCAGTCAGCATGTCGTTGTGTCCCTGAGACACTTCACCCCAAATTGCTCCTGTGGGGATTGCCCACAGTACTGAATGTATGTAAGTCGCTTTGGATAAAAGTATCTAACAAGTGACATGTAATGTAATGTGGATATTAAAGCAGAAACAGAGTGAGAGTGAAACACAACACAGGACAGTACAGATTCACAAGGATAAAAAATGATACACAAATACAATTATATAGTAACTGTTAAGATAAATACATATTTGGGTTCGGATTGTTAGATATATTTACATGTAAGTGTGCAGGTCTTTGTACAAACAGTAAAGTTACTGTTACTGGGTTACAGGTTTGGCCCCTGGCTGTTCAGCCTGATGGCTCCAGGCACACAGGACTGTCCGAGGAGGGATGAGTCTGAGGGTGGACGTACTCCTCATATTTATATCCCCCTGAATGTATTCCTGTTTTTTTATCATGTTTTATTTTAAAATTGTAGTCCTGTATTGTGTATTATGTAACTTTGCTGTCTGGGACAAATAAAGGTCTTCTGATGTACCCCAAAGCTGTTTGTCATTTTCAATTTCTTTGACGATATTTAATAAAATAAATGTGTATTGTCAATAGGTGTCTATAAAGTCTAAATATATCTGAACTATTTTTGAAAAAAACTGAAATGAACATGGTGTAATTTAAATAGTCTAAAGTTTATATTAATAATAACAAAATACACCTCTTTATACCCACAGTTTTAATACAAACTTATCATATCTGTGAACAAGTTATGTTTCATACAATATGATAGAAATCACCAATAATACTTACATGTGTTTTGTACATTTTTTATTATCAGGAAGTCTTAAGCATATTCTTCATCATAACAATTGTTCCATTATGAGATTGATGTCATATTCTTTATGGAAATAGTTGACTCTGTTGTGAAATGAATCTAAAACGTGCTTTCTTATTTTACTGATGCATCAAACATCTTGGTGGTAGATCAATTTAACTAAAGCAAAATACAGTAAAGTAATCCATAATTATCCGTTTGGTCACTTTGCCTTAATCACAATATGAACTTTTTGGTGTTATTGGTATAGTAACAAACTATATCATGGCCTTTTATTATTTTAGAACTGTTTATACCTTTACATTAATTAAAGTTTATATTCAATGTTCTGTTGTAAATTGTTAAATGAATGGTTCTTGGCTTGATTACATTTAAAATAATAATATATGAGTTAATAAGGATAAACCAATCAAATGAAACGTTGGACTAAACTACAACTATGCCTTTAAATCTCTATCCGACTGTTTTTCAGTAGGATGGCAAGTTCCCATCTATAAACAATTTTTTTTTTCTCATAACAGATTTGATTATCTGAAGCGAATCTAACTTTGGCGACCATGTACGGTCATTATTAAAAAGGTACAATTAATTTGTTTAGGGTTGACTAAAATTATGAAAAACATTTCATTTGGATAATTTACTGACAGAATAAAAAACTCAATAATGACCTCACCACCTTCAAAGAACTCACCTCTTCAATCTGGCTTTTAATGTGTGGCTGTTATATTGCTTGGTTTTAATTTGACAATTTAATTTAATTTAATTATTTTCACCATCTCTGTAAAGCGACTTTGAGCACCTGTAAGAGTGGTTACAAAAAAATCTGTTATTACTCACCTGTTCTCAGTCTCAAGTGAAACAGTTGTAACGGTAACCTTTAGTAAACTTAAAAACAACCTTCACCCAAATTTATTAAGGAATATACGTATTCATGGTGGCTCTTGGGTTTTAGAACTTTATCACATATTTGTATTTAAATAGTTTGAATGATCCAGAATTGACATAAGCTTGCGTTTACACTGACCTGTTGGTCACATATAAATGCTAACAGATTACTACACATCCAACACATCGATTCGCATCGTGAGATGACACAGAATCGATGTGTACATACATTATCACTCTATGATAAGAACTCGCGACTTTGTAAACAAAAACAGACATCAAAACATGTGGCGCTAGGTAGCTAAAAACGCTAACATGGCTTACCTGTGTCGTTGTCTGGTCAAAAGTGGTCTACAATGGCATTAAAACGATAAAAACGCTGCTGAAGTTAATCCATAGGTTAATCCAATGTGTCTGTGTCCCTTTGAAATGATTTCTGATAATCCATAAGCAATAAACCTGCTTTTCCATTTCCAGATGTCAGAGCGAGAGATAAAGATTATTATTTAACCCTTTTAGAAGGGAAGATAGGGTCATTTGTTCTGGGAATGTCATTTTCGAGCCTGAGACCTGAAAAACAGGCTCAGGGCTTAACAGGTTAAACATTTTTCAGATTTTTTAACTGTGAGCAAATTAAGTGATTAAATAATAATATTTTAGTATCATCGTGGTGAAAATCTAAAGATTAAAGCATTGATTAACCACTTTTTCAGAGCCAGCTCCAATTATAATACAAGATAAACATGAAAGCAAACAGTAATTATAATATTGTGATTATACAAGTGTGAGGATTATTAAAGCGATAAACAATCAATGATGTAGACACAATATATATTTCAAAAACAATGCAACAGGCTTACATGGTTTACTGCACAAGAAAAGTTCAAAGTAAAGAATAAGTTGTATAAATAAACATGAGTTGTATGTGCATTCACTTGAATGTGTAAGAAATACTTGTACATAATCTTACATTTCGAGATTTCTAAAGCAGAAATAAACAAAACGCACTGACTCTCCATCAGAGCAGGAGCACATACCTAAGCCTCTTTTGAGTGTGTTTGCAGAGTACAAATGAACCTCTGTTTTATACAGATTCAATCAAAACTATTAATGTGTTTTACCTTAAATCTATAAACAAACATATACTCTCAACATATATCTAGTTTGAATGAGATTACAAAGTATTTTAAAGTATTTAGGAAGACATTTAGAGAGGAAAGTCACAGATTAGCGACTCACACGGCAGTAGTTTGGGAAGGTTCAGGTCTTCCCAGTAATAATATACAAATATATAATGGTTTATTTCCCTTTTACAAGAACATAAACTCGTTCGCTATCGTTTAGGGTGAAGTTTACAATATATGGTTCCCTCCAGGTGTAATTTTATTACATTTGTTCGTGAAGAGAAAACACAAAGTGACACAGTATGCCTGCTGCTCCTGTGAGACAGGCTGAGATTGAGTCTCTACGGTTCTCATGGTGTGTTTAAGTTCCGCTCTTTGCTGGGATTTCTCTATCAGTCTCACCAAGACCAGAGAATCCACTTTGAAAGCAACATGGCAGAATCCGCTCCCGCAGCACCCGCCAAGTCCCCGAAGAAGAGAGCCACAAAGCCGAAGAAGGCGGGCCCCAGCGCCGCTGATCTCGTGCTGAATGCCGTCGCCGCCTCCAAGGAGCGTAAAGGGATTTCCTATGTCGCCCTGAAGAAGGAGCTGGCCGTTAAAGGCATCGACAACGCCAACCAGGTGAAACGCGCCGTGAAGAAGTTGGTTGAGAATGGAGCCCTGGTGCAGGTCAAGGGATCCGGAGCCAGCGGCTCCTTCAAGGCAGCCAAGCCCACCGAGAAGCCCAAGAAGGTAGCTAAGAAGCCCGCAGTCAAAGCCAAGAAGCCGGCAGCAGCAGCAGCGAAGAAACCGGCTGCTAAGAAGGCAGTAACACCCAAGAAGGCGAAGAAGCCTGCTACTCCAGCCAAGAAAACCCCCGTGAAGAAGATCACAAAGAGCCCGAAGAAGGTGGCCAAGAAGGCAGCACCCAAGAAGGCAGCGACCCCCAAGAAGGCAGCGACCCCCAAGAAGACCGCAACCCCCAAGAAAGCTGTGAAGAAGGTGGTTAAACCAGCTGCCAAACCAGCGAAGAAGGCACCAGCCAGGAAAGCAGCGAAGAAGTAAACAGATAATCTACTTCATCTACAAAAGGCTCTTTTAAGAGCCACCCACATACACCAAAAGAGCACTCTCCAGTTGTAATATTGTATTTTTGTATAAATGCAACTATATGAAGGAAACATTCCTCACATATTTGGTATTTCGAACTTCACATGATTGAATGAAACAACATACTGCTCCCATGTGTTATTGAACACGTTCCATGATCATATATTTTAATATTATGATCTCATACCACACCCGCAACACCCATATATCAGTTATATCAAACATAATAGTCACATAACTGAAACATATCTAAAGTACCCTACCTTGATAAAAGTTTGCTTTACTTTATCATCACTTTCTATATTATGTGACAGCATACAATACTAAAGTGTTTTATAGAAAATATATTATAATTATATTACATTAGACATTTACATATAAATGGGTTATTATATACTGGATTACTATTTCTAAGTAATGTATTCCTCACAATCACTAGCTACAAAATATGGTCATTTTAAAATATTATAAATGTGAGTATGGCCAGTAGAAAAGCAGGACCAATGTCAATGTGTTATTGTAGGGATTAATTTAATAAAATTAATAAATAATACATTCAATATTATCTTTTTAATACAAATGTATTTTTATTAAAATAAAGTCAACCAATAATAGATAATGGATGTGTATATTTATAACAATCATTTAGTCAAGCAGAAAATAGTAAAGCCATAAACAGTATTTAAAAAATATAATTGATATATGATGAGTGATGTTATTCATAATATACTAATCGAGTGTTTAATCCTAATTATATCGTTTTTATTTAATGTAAAGAAAACTCCTTGTTTATTGTTATATAATTTAAATTATTTGACGCTTGTACTTTGAGTTTTTCTAGGCGCGCTGCTGTATCACGTGATAATCAGCGGACCAATCAGTGTCGTTGCCGCCCCAGCTCTCACTATATAAAGGCGACGGAGACCAGTCGATATCATCCCGACTTTTCTTTCCGAGGAGTTTACTCGCTAACCATGGCAAGAACCAAGCAGACCGCTCGTAAATCCACCGGAGGAAAGGCTCCCAGGAAGCAGCTGGCCACCAAGGCTGCTCGTAAGAGCGCCCCGGCCACCGGCGGCGTGAAGAAACCTCACCGTTACAGGCCCGGTACCGTGGCTCTGAGAGAGATCCGCCGCTACCAGAAGTCCACCGAGCTGCTGATCCGCAAGCTGCCCTTCCAGCGCCTGGTGAGGGAGATCGCCCAGGACTTCAAGACCGACCTGCGCTTCCAGAGCTCCGCCGTCATGGCTCTGCAGGAGTCCAGCGAGGCCTATTTGGTCGGGCTGTTCGAAGACACCAACTTGTGTGCCATCCACGCCAAGAGGGTCACCATCATGCCCAAAGACATCCAGCTGGCCCGCCGCATCCGCGGGGAGAGGGCTTAAACTGACCTGAGACCAGGACACCCAAACACAACGGCTCTTTTAAGAGCCACACAAACACACTTACAGAGCAGAACGTCCGAAATACATGTGTGGATATACTTCATAAACTGATTGGCCCATGCTATAAAGGGGACAAAGTAACACATGATAACATATAGTATATAAACGCCTACAATGTTGATCCATATTGCTACTACCACTGTGTTGTAATGCAGGCTCTAGTGGTTTGTTGAGAAAAAGCCCATACAAACAACTAATCTGATATATAATTTTGGTCTTTAAAAACTTGTTTATAATGATTTATTCTGAGATATATGTATATGTACCCATTTATGGGTGTATATATATTTAAAGCAACATATCAGGTGTACACACTAGTGTTTGAACATTATAGTCGATAATGGTGTATACATCGAGTGGACACTGCAGTGTGTCATTTCATAAGACACTTGCATCTAACTGTGGGATGTCTAAAATACAGTTTATTACTATTTAGATGCTTATCTAATCTTGAAATAGTGCTGTATAATAGTTTGTGCCATGTATGTTTTAGAGCGACTACACTCCTAACGGTATAATATACAATGGTCACATTAAAGAACTGCTAATTGGCTAAGAGATAATAACATCATTAATATATGTACCTAGATGTACCTAATTTCTTAAAATGCTAATACAAAATAAATAAAGAACTGTTAGAAAGACAAATGTGTTCATATGTAATCCACTACAATAGAGCCACTATTTTCTTTCTGCTCCAAACATTTGTTGGTGAACACTGACATCTGGTGGATAGAGGCTGGAACTAAATATAACCTGTATTCATTTCAATGTGCGTGTGGGCAAAAGATACAATTGAGTGCTTAAATGTTACGGTACGCTATTGATCGGTGAACTGCAGACACCTGCCAATAAGTAATACTGATATAGTGTAGTGTAAACTGAGTTACACATTAATGATGGGTCCAACAAACGTTGGGGCTTTATTTATGTGGACAGACAGATGTAGAAACCATACCGCTATTCATTTGAGAATGTGGTGATTAACCTGCTGGATGTACGAAGGAAAGTGTGAAAAGGAGTTTGCTTTAGTTGAAATACGGCTTTACTTTAGAGGCTAAAACCCAACAAATACAATTATCATTAATAGTAATTTAGGGTTATGTTTAAAGTGTATATTGCTCTATAATGTGGGTGTTTTTAGTTGAGTGACTTGGTGTAATATGACATGTTGTATAGGTTGTACACCTCAATACATATAGGGCAAGGGGGGAGATTACTGTTCTGGGCCATTAAGTAGTTGTGTAGTGAAGAGGGAAATGTTCTTTAGTTAGAAGTGGGTGGCTCTTAAAAGAGCCTTTGGGGTGTTTATTGAAGCGGGATCAGGGTGTTCACTTCTTGGCGGCCTTCTCGGTCTTCTTGGGCAGCAGCACAGCCTGGATGTTGGGCAGCACACCTCCCTGAGCGATGGTCACTCCTCCCAGCAGCTTGTTGAGCTCCTCGTCGTTGCGGACGGCGAGCTGCAGGTGACGGGGGATGATACGGCTCTTCTTGTTGTCCCGGGCGGCGTTTCCAGCCAGCTCCAGGATCTCAGCGGTCAGGTACTCCAGCACAGCGGCCAGGTACACCGGGGCTCCAGCACCGACACGATGGGCGTAGTTACCCTTCCTCAGATGCCTGTGGACACGGCCGACGGGGAACTGGAGCCCGGCACGGGATGAGCGAGTCTTGGCCTTCGCCCTAACCTTTCCTGCACCTTTGCCTCGGCCTGACATTTTCTATGTGATTATTCTTCGACGTTAAGAAGAAAGTAACTCGATCATAGTTCTCACCAGTTTATATTGAGCTGCAGCTGTACGCTCATTGGTCAGATTGATCCGTAACTGTGATCGTCCAATCAGAAAACAGGTTGGTCTGCCGCCTGAATTCTTTTCAGAATGAGACTGAATTTTTTGAAATTGTTTTCACCCGTTCACAGATGAATATAAACTCCTGTAATTTAAGAAGCGAAAGTCTCAATGTGTAGATGACATTAAGACATTCAAAAAGCTGTCATACTTAATGATTATTTACAGTGTGTAATTAACTTATTAAATAATATATTTCGTATTATAACTCAAATTACACACCCACCTAAATACATGCATGTACATGTAACGTTTGGGCTAAATATTTAAAGGGGAAAAAATGATCATCAGTTGTAACTTGCCCCTCAGCTGTCAAGGACTCCTTGTCTTCACTAGCAACACTTTTATCACAACTAGACTACAAGGAAATAGTGCTACTTGGAGATTTTAACTGGGACTGGTTAACTGCAGTATCAGAGGATTTTAAAAACCTTTGTATCTCTTTGAATGTTACTCAGATTGTTGACAGTCCTACTCGCCCTAACGTTAAGTCCCCTAATAAATCATCCCTAATTGATCTCATTCTAACTAATGTTCCCTATAAATACCTATCTGTGGGAGTATTTGCAAATGATGTGAGTGACCACTGTGTTGTAGCCACAATTAGGGACACTAAGGTCCAAAAGGTTAAACCCTGTATTATTATTAAGAGACACATAAAACATTTTGTGGAGCAGGGTTTTGTTCATGATCTGTTTGGGTTTGATTGGGGAAAAATCGATCTGTGTGCTGATGTTGAAACTGCATGGTCTTATTTTTATCTTGGTTTTATGGAAATTATAGATAGACATGCACCCCTACGTACTTTTAGAGTAAAGGGACGAGACATTCCTTGGTTTTCTGCTGAACTGTCCAGTCTCCTACATGAGAGAAACAAGGCCTGGGCAAAGGCTAGGAAATCAGGCTCAGAGGTTGGATGGCTGCGTTTTAGGCAACTAAGAAATAGCTTCACTTCACAGGTCAAAAATGCTAAGTCGAAGTACTATTTGTCAGTTACTACAGAAAACCTAAATAATCCTAGGAAATTTTGGAAAGCCATAAAATCGCTATCCACCGGTGAGATCTGAAATGAGCTACCTCCGTGCATTACCACAGCATCTGGCTCTATATCGGACAGGGCTACTATGTTAAATTGTTTTAATGAGCATTTTGTGTCCTGCGGTTCTATGTTTGATTCTGTGACTTAACTCTGCTTTTGTGAACACCACAGTCGGTGACTCTGAACAATGTGGTCTGGAAAACCCTTTCAGTTTTACTCCTTTTACTGTTGATGTTGTTCGTGAAGCTTTAACCAAGTTAGATCCTAAGAAACCGGCCGGCCCGGACAACGTGGAACCTTTCTTTTTAAAGATAGCTGCAGATTTTATTGCTCTACCTCTCACTACTCTTTTTAACCTCTCCCTCAGCACAAACACAATTCCAAAACTGTGGAAGTCAGCGTATGTCCTGCCTTTGCTGAAAGGAGGGGAGGCAACTGTTTTAAATAACTATAGGCCCATCTCTAAATTGTCAGTTCTGGCTAAGGTTCTTGAACGCCTCGTGAGTGAACAGGTAAAGGTGTTTTTATGTACAAATGACATCCTGTCAAAACATCAGTCAGGCTTCAGAAAGCAACATAGCACCATCACTGCCACAATGAAAGTGGTGAATGACATTACAAGTATTTTAGATAATAAGCAGAGTTGTGCAGCTCTATTTATTGACCTTTCCAAAGCGTTTGATACCGTCGATCATCACATCTTAAAGCAAAGGCTACTCAGTATTGGCTTATCCAGCCATGCAGTGGGGTGGTTTGTGAACTACCTCTCTGAAAGGTCCCAATGTGTTCACTTTGATGGGCTGTCTTCTGAGTGGTTGAACATTGCTAATGGTGTTCCTCAAGGTTCTGTTTTAGGTCCACTTTTATTCTCCATCTACATCAATAGTTTAGGTGAAAATGTGGATGAAGCTACTTTGCATTTTTATGCGGATGACACCGTGATGTACTGTGCAGGTCCCTCCATTAAGGAGGCTGTTGTTAAATTACAGGCTGTTTTTAACATTATTCAGACTCAGCTCTCTGAACTAAAGCTTCTTTTAAATGTTGAGAAAACCAAGGTAATGCTCTTTTCTAAAGCTAAAAAGACTCCAGAGACTGCTTTGGATATTGTGACTATGCAAGGACAAGTACTCCAAGTGGTTAGCTATTATAAATACCTTGGTATCTGGCTTGATGATTGTCTTACTTTTAAACTTCACGTCACTAATCTGCTTAAAAAGCTGAGGGTTAGATTAGGTTTCTTTTTCAGAAACAAGTCCTGTTTCTCTTTTGAAGCCAGGAAAAGGCTCTGTGACCTTTTTACCTGTGCTAGACTATGGTGATTTGATCTACATGAATGCACCTGCCCATTGCCTGGAAAGGTTAGATGCCGCCTATCACAGTGCTCTGAGATTTGTTACTAACTGTAAAGTACTTACTCATCACTGTACCCTGTATGCCAAGGCAGGTCGGCCCCTTCACTTACTGTTCGGAGGCTCAGTCATTGGTACATGTTCATCTACAAAGCCATGCTGGGTAAACTACCTTCTTATATCTGCTCCTTGATCTCACGGAGAGTGGCAAGTAGCTATTGCCTGAGATCACAGGATGTGTTTTTATTACATGTGCAAAGTGCTAGGACTGTTTTAGGTGCTAAAGCTTTTATGTGCGCTGCTCCTCTAGCTTGGAACACTATGCAAAAAATATTGAAACTCAGCATTTTGATTCCCTTGCATCATTTTAAAGCACGACTGGATGAAATATTATTGGATACCTGTAAATGTAAATAGATGCTAATGTATATCCCTGTAATTATGTTGTGATGTCCTTTTTGTTTTCTGTTTGTTTTTATATGTGTAACTCAATGTACCACAGGTCTCCCTTGTAAAAGAGATCGTTGATCTCAATGGGATTTTTAACCTGGATAAATAAAGGCTACAAACAAACAAACAAAACTTATTTGTGTAGATTGTAATTTGTGTAATGTCTATTTTTTTATCTTTAATATTTTGAGGACATCTCTTATTTCATATTTTGATTTTAATTGTTTTGCTAGGTATTATTCATTATGTGTCTTTGTATGCACCAAATATACCAAAGCAAATACCTTTTTGTGTTAAAGGCTTTATATATACAGTCTATGGTTAAAGGTAGGGTAGGTACATTTGAGAAACCGGCTTGAGATCGCTAGAATTTGAAAATACACAACCGGAGAAAATCTGCCACTTCCTTACAGAGCCCCTCCTCCAACACACACGAACGCGCACATGACCAATGAGGGCACGAGATAAGTTTGTGTTTGTGTTTGTGTCCAGTTATTTTAGCCGGGCTGGCTAAAATGATTGGTCGTACTTTTTACAGTATTACGGCTTCCACAGATGACATTTTTTTAATGGATTTTTTGTCAAAGCATTTAAGATATTCATTGCTATCGGGATGTTAAGAGCATTCCATGGAATATAACAAAAAGTGTATCTCGAGCCAGTTTCTCAAACTTACCTACCCTACTTGGTAATAAAACCTATTCTCATTCGATCACTGTACATCAATTATATTTGCAGCACTTAATATAGCTTTATTTGGAAAGCATTTTAAAACCTCCAGGTAGAAGTGATGTACAACACAAACAAAAATATGTAAAAATACTGCCAAATAAGTCAAATGTAAATAGTAAAAGCCAGATCACAGGAAGATGATCCAAGTGAGCATGGCAGTTTAATGTCATTACCACCAATAAATAATTTAAAAACCAGCTTTAAAAAAAAAAAAGAAGGGTCTTTACTTGCACAATGTATTATTTTAGTTGTATTAAAATGGCAATTATGTTGACGTAGACACTTTGTAAGAGGAAAACAGCAGTAGAGTGATTCTACAATTTAGGGTACATTCCATGTCCATTGATGATAATTATAACTATTCTAACTATTTTCTTCAAAAATATCATATTTTGCCTATTATTGGAAAGCATGTTATAATATCACACAAACATTATGTGCATCCTATGCTTTATTTAGCTTGAAATGTGTCATGATGTTCTTAAATTGTCAGTTTTTGCTCTGTCCGTTTTTCAGTTGAGGGTGTCTTGGATTCAAAATAATGAATAAAAACCATTAAAGTAAATAAAAAAAAGTATTCATTTATTTCAAAAGTCTAAATACTAAAGAATAATAACATCTTTTTCATTGATTTCCTCCTTTAAATAATTTAAATATCTTAATATATGAATGTCCGCAAAAGTTCTGTCAACTATGTTACTAAGAGAACTCCCCCCTTTAACTCAAAAATGGTTTGTCCCAATACCATGTCACCAGCATCACATGATGCCATGTTCCTCTTTGGCAGACATTTTGAACACACTGTGGTGATTGTCCTCTAATTTTTTACAATATTTTATGTATAATAGCACATTGTCAATGAGTATATTAATTGACCATCAACAATGTTACGTACATTGTTATGGTTTACAATTGTTTAATGATTTTAATTCAATTATATGTTCAAATGTGATGTTAACCTGTTCAAGAAAATGACATGTGATCATCCAGGCAAGGCCTACCATTGAAATGATGGGTCAAAATAGGGAAATTGTCAACTAGGTTACCTGTCAACTAAGTTACCCAGTACTGTAATAACTGTAGTAACTTAGTTGACAGGTAACCTAGTTGACAATTTGTATGACATGTAGACGTCATTACACATCATTATCAATGGAATTTTGCACTTCTGCCTTGAAATGAACATAGTGCTGATGGTTAATAATGTGTCCAGTCAACTATGTTATTTGCGTCAAATGTTTGACTTTCATTGTCAACTATGTTGCACCTCATTTTTTCAAATTTAAAATATCTAAAATAGTGCTTCTGATATCCTTTATGGTATAATGTATATCTACACAGGTTGGAGTTTTACATGACATCTCTTAAAACTATCAAAATGACCTGTATGGTAGTTTTATAATACAAAATATCCCTAAACTTAATGACAGTGCTGAACATATCACATGAAAAAACAAAACTTTAATACAATTATTTTTTAAACTTTAAAAAATCTTTGGATATATGGTAGAATAGACTCAAGAGCCTTTCAAATTTGATTTTACTTGAAGTGCAGGACTTAATCAAATGATTGTAATGACATCAAGTTTGTCCGTAACATAGTTGACAAACTGAGTAGTGAAAACATCCTTTCCCTTCAAATAAAAAAAAAAATAAAAATGTTTAAGCTTTGCAACTAGTGGATATGTTACACTGAGGAATATACTAACTTGAACCACTGATTGTTCTATTGAGAAAGAACACTTTCTTTGTACTGTTTTGTTGATGTGAAATGCACCCTAAATTATAGAATCAGTCAGTAGATGAAGTGTGTGGCTCTTAAAAGAGCCGTTGGTTTGTAGCAGTAGCGGCAGCAGTTTACTTGGAGCTGGTGTACTTGGTCACGGCCTTGGTGCCCTCAGACACGGCGTGTTTAGCCAGCTCTCCGGGCAGTAGCAGGCGGACAGCGGTCTGGATCTCCCTGGAGGTGATGGTGGAGCGCTTGTTGTAGTGAGCCAGACGAGAGGCCTCCCCGGCGATGCGCTCAAAGATGTCGCTCACGAAGCAGTTCATGATGCCCATGGCCTTGGAGGAGATGCCGGTGTCGGGGTGGACCTGCTTCATCACCTTGTAAACGTAGATGGCGTAGCTTTCCTTCCTGGACTTTCTCCTCTTCTTGCCGGTCTTGGTGGCGGTCTTGGAGACGGCTTTCTTTGAGCCCTTCTTGGGCGCTTTGACGCTGGCTGCTTCAGGCATGATCAACGGTTGAGGGTTTACAAAATAGAATGAATTCGCCAAGTCACAGCGTGGTCTATTTATATTCATCCGATGCAAATGTCATTGTGCTGTTGCTCTCACGGGATTGGTTGGGTACTGAGCATGCGCTAAATAAATCACCCTTTGAGCATAGTTTTTGAGAATAGAAGAGAAACATTTTTCTTAATTGAAATCTAAATAATGAAATAAACCAAAAAAGACTTGATACATTACAGTATATTGTTTGTTCAGATTAAGATAACATATAAAACGGTTGAAGAACGACGAAAGTACGTTTTAACCGTTTGTTCAGCTTGTACAGCATCAGGGCAATATCTCTATGGAGTCAGACACTGAAAGTGTGCTGGAGGCTGATGCGTTGACTGGGACTGATGGAAAGATGAGGATGAGACTGAAGAATCTGCGAGGAACGAACTAGGGGCAGATAAATAATCATATTTTGACACAGCATGAGAACCGTAGAGACTCAACTCAGCCGGTCTCTCACAGGAGCAGCAGGAACACTGGGCCGCTTTGTGTTTTCTCTTCAACAATAAATGTATAAAAAGCACATCTAAATGAACAGTTAGAGGGTAATTTTGTATTGAACATATGGTGATTAAGTTCATTTTCGTATAAAATTCTAATAAAGTTTGTACATGTATTGTGTTTTGATAGGGAAGACTATAAACCTGCTCCAACTACTGCAATGAGAGGGGCTGCACGGTGACTTTTTCCCTCTAATTTCTCTCCTAAATGCTTAAATATACTATATAACATAATTTGTATTGTTTATATGGAGAGAGTAAGTGTTCATTTAGAAACCAGAAATAAAATCAGACAGCTTCTTGGTGACAGATGATCACTAGATACCAAATATTAAGCTTTATCTGTTTTATAGGAAAGCATAAGAGACACTCATTATTTAAATTACAAACAAAAAAACTAAATCGAACATGGTGTAATTGAAATAGTCTAAAGTTTATATTAATAATAACAAAATACACCTCTTTCTACCCTGTTTTAATACAAACTTATCATATATGTGAACAAGTTCTGTTTCAAGGTAATACAATATGATAGAAATCACCAATAATACTTAAATGTGTTTTGTAAATTTGTTATTATCAAGTCCTAAGCATATTCTTCATCATAACAATTGTTCAATTATGAGATTGATGTTATATTCTTTAGGGAAATAGTTGACTCTGTTGTGAAATGAATCAAAAACGTGCTTTCTTATTTTACTGATGCATCAAACATCTTGGTGGTAGATCAATTAAACTAAAATTAATTTGTTTAGGGTTAACTAAAACTATGAAAAACATTTCATTTGGATAATTTACTGACAGAATAAAAAACTCAATACTGACCTCACCACCTTCAAAGAACTCACCTCTTCAATCTGGCTTTTAATGTGTGGCTGTTATATTGCTTGATTTTAACTTCAACCATATGTATTTGTTCTTTTCTTTTCAATATCTCTGTAAAGCGACTTTGAGCACCTGTAAAAGCACTTACACAATACATCTATTATTATTACTCACCTGTTCTCAGTTTTTTAAAGTGAAACATTTGGAACGATAGATTTGAGTAAACTTAAAAACAACCTTTCCCCAGTTATTAAGGAATATACGTGTAATATATGTGGCTCTTGGGTTTTAGAACGTTATTACATATTTTTTATATAAAGTTTTTATGATCCATAATTGACATAAGTGTGCATTTACACTGACCTGTTACTCACATATTAATGTCTATGTAACTTCAGCAAACAACTAGTTTCATTCATCACGGTACAGTAAACCAACAATAATATGAACCAGTGTCATCATAATAATGAGTAGGATTGTAACTCTTTGAAAGTGTAGGTGGCTCTTAAAAGAGCCGTTGTGTTTGGGTGTCCTGGTCTCAGGTCAGTTTAAGCCCTCTCTCCGCGGATGCGGCGGGCCAGCTGGATGTCTTTGGGCATGATGGTGACCCTCTTGGCGTGGATGGCGCACAGGTTGGTGTCCTCGAACAGGCCGACCAGGTAAGCCTCGCTGGACTCCTGCAGAGCCATGACGGCGGAGCTCTGGAAGCGCAGGTCGGTCTTGAAATCCTGAGCGATCTCCCTCACCAGGCGCTGGAAGGGCAGCTTGCGGATCAGCAGCTCGGTGGACTTCTGGTAGCGGCGAATTTCCCTCAGAGCCACGGTACCGGGCCTGTAACGGTGAGGTTTCTTCACTCCTCCGGTGGCCGGAGCACTCTTACGAGCAGCCTTGGTGGCCAGCTGCTTCCTGGGAGCCTTTCCTCCGGTGGATTTACGGGCGGTCTGCTTGGTTCTGGCCATTGTAGTTTCTCAGTGTTCACAGCGAGAGGAGTGCTGTATAACTGAGAGCAGCGGCTTTATAAAGGAGCTGCTGGAGCAGGGCAGCGCTGATTGGTGCAGGCCGGGAGACACTAGCGCTGTAGCTGCTTTACTATTGGACAATGTAAAGCACTCCTCCACAGGGGATGATCCGGGGGCTCCTCAAAATGAACTTTTGTTTAGTTAAGGGAAAAATAAATATGATTAAATATAATATAACCCTGTCATTTTCTAATGTATAACTATGATTTAATTTGTAGTGAAAAATTCGCCCTGAAATAAAGGAATAATTTAGTCAACAACACTAAACTTGTGCCCAAAAGTTAAATATGAGAATTAACATCAGTTACAACCCAAACGAATTAATTCATTAATAATTTAGTGTACAGAAACAGTCTTTAAATGGCACCAGCTTTTAGTATGAGTGTAAGACGTAAAATGAATACCTATTAGCAAATGAATCATGATCTTCTGCAGTAAAAATGAGATCACCTTATAAAAGTATTTGAGTTTATTTGTGTTTAAGATGTAGGTATATAGCATACTTGTTCATATTAAATGTATGTGCCCATATGAATGTTGTTTATATGTATTATTTATTTCACAAGCATTTGCAAAGCATTTTTCGTTTGTGTTTTTGACATTACTGATTGGTGAAATTATTCTCTTCTCTTATTAAACCCCATAACTTTGTATTGCCGGTATCAATAATTCAAGGGAGGCTTTAAGTGTTAGCCAGAAACATCATTTGGATTGTTGTTACAGCACATTTGAGTATGTGGTGGCAGAGGGATAACATTTAATAATAAATGTGTTCATTTGTCCCCTCTAGATAAATATTACCATTTAACATTTTCTCTCAGGATTGTAGTAAAATAACCACCACCATATTCCCTTCATATTGTGAAATGTATTTATTTTTGTTTTGGAAAAACAAACACCACGGTGGTATTTACGTCAAAAGAATGGACGATATAAAATCATGGTTTATCTTGCTTTACCAAGCATTCTGTATAAATAAAATGTTTACATTAGTGTAATAAGTTATTTAGGTTTCTGGTAGAATAGTTATAGAGTATAACAGGATGAGTTCTTTGGATGGGTTGGGTGGCTCTTAAAAGAGCCGTTTGTTTGCGGTGTGTTGGGTTTGGGTTTACTTGGAGCTGGTGTACTTGGTCACGGCCTTGGTTCCCTCAGACACGGCGTGTTTAGCCAGCTCTCCGGGCAGCAGCAGGCGGACAGCGGTCTGGATCTCCCTGGAGGTGATGGTGGAGCGCTTGTTGTAGTGAGCCAGGCGAGAGGCCTCACCGGCGATGCGCTCAAAGATGTCGCTCACGAAGCAGTTCATGATACCCATGGCCTTGGAGGAGATGCCGGTGTCGGGGTGGACCTGCTTCATCACCTTGTAAACGTAGATGGCGTAGCTTTCCTTCCTGGACTTTCTCCTCTTCTTTCCAGTCTTGCTGACGGTCTTAGCGACGGCTTTCTTTGAGCCCTTCTTGGCCGCTTTAACGGGGGGTGCGTCGGCAGGCATGATTAGAGAGTGAGGTTAACAGACTCGGGTGATTCCTTTGTCACAGAGCGGTCTCTTTATATTCACCAAATGCAAATATGACTGTGCTGTTGCTCCCACGGGATTGGTTGTCTTCTGAGCAGGACGGAGCATGCGCTTAACGAGTTTTAGAATCAAAACAGATTGGATGACAAAATGTAAAATGAACCCCCCATTGATTATGTATTTGTATTATTGGGGTTTTATAATGTGTTGTACATGAGTAAATCAAAATATCGGTTGGGATCAGTGGCGGCTCCAGAGTATTTTTGGTGGGGCTCAAGTCAGTATTTGCAATTTAATTACATACACGCTATATCGCCCCCATTGACAGTGAAACGCCATGCGTGAGGTTTAGATAATTTCCCTGTCTCAATAAAAATGTAACTGTATGAAATAAAAAGGCACATTTGTCTTGTAGTAAATAAAAAGGGCGACCTGGAGCCAATCCTGCAATTTCCCCACAGGTGAAAGAGTTGACATGCTGAAAACCTGTATAGGGGGGTCTGAGGGGATTCTCCCCAAGGAGATTTTTTGAAATACTAACATAAAATACACATTCTGGTACTGTCTTGAGAATAAAAAATAAAAAATCTATTACTACACGACATATTTAAAAAAATGAATGCCATCTTTGTAACTGCACGGTCATTGAACAACACTGACCTCATTTTTTATCTCCAAATCAGAAAGGTAGCAGAAGTCCGTTAATCCACCAAAGGCAAATATTATTAAAACGTTATATTCAAGATTCAAGGCTTTATTGTCATGTGCACAGTAGCTACAGTGTAGATATCGCAATGAAAAACTATAGTCAGGCTCCTCCAACAGTGCAAAAATAGGTATGTATAGGGCATGAAACAAATAAAACAGTGCAATGTTTTGAGATTTGCAAGGTCATTCCAGAATTGGAGGACATTTCATGTCCCACATATAAAAAATCAAATAGTCCATGCCCAAAAAGCTAAAACATGCACTTGTTGTGTTAAATATACTTGTCTTGAGACAAGATGTATATAAAGTTGTAGAAAAAGTGGTTTCAAAATATTATTTAAAATATCAAATAGCTCTCGAACATCCCCTAAAATGGCATTTTTCTTTTGTCCCAGCTTCTTGGTGACCAACCTGCATGTCAAATATAACATTTAAAATAGGGTTTTTATTTACTTTTTTTGTATTATTCTATTGATATATGTCTCTTGTAATGGTAAAATCTATTTGTTAAATAATAAACATATTTTAAATAACAGTAATTTTACACTGAAAGTGTGTCCCACAACATGCGCGCAACCCTGTTACCGATCCCTTTTTAGCTTGGCAGAGGAAGTGAAAAAACTGTTTGTCACATGACACAGTGGAAATGACATCAGCAAGCAATGTGCTACTACCATGGGTAGACCAAAAGTAAGTCCTCTCTTATTTTTATTATTTCTAATGTTGTCACTCTTGAAGGAGTGTGGCACTCACACAAACGCAAACTTATTGCACAGAAACATTGCAAGAAAAGTATATATACAAGTAAATGGAATATGATATATGGATAAATAATTTGCAAGATGCAAACAGATGAATGTTTATGGATGTTCTTTACATAGCTTATGTGTAATAGTGGTATGCCTGTGGTCATTCCTCCCTGTACTAAATAAGCCAGCTCATTAGCTTCTGTATTGTGAATTGTTTACAATACTACTCCAAAATGCTTTGTTTTTTAACCCTCCTATTATTTTGCTGGCTACTTTCGCCTCATTATTTGTTTTACTATTATATAGAGAGGCGAAGTCCCTCCCCTTCTGGTTGAGCTCCATGGGACCTTATTTCGGAAAAGTTATGCATTGAAGTCAATGGAGAGAGAAAGATTATCTTTCGATCCCGTTTGAATTGTGCCACGAATTACACATATGATGTTTGTCTATTTAAAAGATAATTTTACAAGTCAAAAAAATAAAAATATGTCGTAAAAATGTGAAGTAACACTTTTTTTGTGTGAAACCGCTCAATGAACTACATCTCCCGTCTCGCACCACACACCAAGGCGGCCGTCACGTTGGCACATTTCACTTCTTTCTTTCAGAATGAGGCGAAAGTTAAAAGAGGTGAAAATCACTACAAGTCTGGGCATGTTGAGAGCTGCACATACACACAAGGGGAGTTAGTCGGTTCCGTAAGAGCCAGCATGCGGGCACAATTCAAACAGGATCGAAAGATTATCTTTCGATCCCATTTGAATTGTGCCACGAATTACACATATGATGTTTGTCAATCTTAAATAATAATTTCCATGTAAAAAAAGACACAGTTTGTCGTAAAACTGTTGAATTATAAGACTATGAAAAATACGCAACTAGAAAGACTACAAATCCCAGAGTCCCGGTCCCGCATGCTGGCTCTTACGAACCGACTAACTCCCCTTGTGTGTATGTACAGCTCTCAACATGCCCAGACTTGGAGTGATTTTCACCTCTTTTAATACTTTTCGCCTCATTCTGAAAGAAAGAAGTGAAATGTGCCAACGTGACGGCCGTCTTGGTGTGTGGTGCGAGACGGCAGATGTAGTTCATTGAGCGGTTTCACACAAAAAAAGTATTACTTTTACGACACATTTTTATTTTTTTGACTTGTAAAATTATCTTTTAAATTGACAAACATCATATGTGTAATTTGTGAAGTCCCTCCCCTTCCGGTGGACCTCCATGGGACCTTATTTCGGAAAAATTATGTATTGAAGTCAATGGAGAGAGAAAGATTATCTTTCGATCCCGTTTGAATTGTGCCACAAATTACACATATGATGTTTGTCAATTTAAAAGATAATTTTGCAAGTAAAAAAAAAAAAAATGTGTTGTAAAACTTTGAAGTAACACATTTGTTTGTGTGAAACGCTCAATGAACTACATCTCTGGTCTCACAGACCAACACACGTCACCAAGATGGCCGTCACTACTGTCTTGTCAACAAAACGATTGACTACCCTCACTATCACTACAATGAAACACGTCCTGAAGAATGTCATGCAAAGCTGCCTGCCTGCCTTCCTTTGATTCTCTCTGAACTGCCTGGTCGTTTTAATGTTTAATGTCAACCATTTGTGCAGATAGCATGAAGTAGAGAAGATCGCTAGCGTTAGCGTTAGCATTTCTCCCCCGGGCTTAAATTGTGTATTATAGAATGATCACACCGGTGTGACAGTACTCTTCAAAGGGTTCACGAAATATGACTACTACTCTTACTGTTTAACATGTTGGGTTACTTAATGTTACTTCATGTTAAGGCTAATACAAATGACAAGGCTGTAATGCTAACTAACGTGCTAGCTACTAGCTAGCTTGATCCAGACACTCCTGGTCCTTTCATCAGACGGGAAGCGAAAGAACGAGCAAGACCCATTGCTGGTATGAACAACCTGGTAGCACACAGGCATCTTGTTAAAGTTATCTTATCTTAGCCAGCGCCATATAGATAGATTATATCTATATGGCGCTGATCTTATATCTCTTAGTGGAGGAAAACAATTGTGGCATCACTTACGCGACTCTGGGATTTGTAGTCTTTCTAGTTGCGTATTTTTCATAGTCTTATATTTCAACAGTTTTACGACAAACTGTGACTTTTTTGACATGGAAATGCTTTTTTAAGATTGACAAACATCATATGTGTAATTCATGGCACAATTCAAACGGGATCGAAAGATAAGTTTTCTCTCTCCATTGACTTCAATACATTATTTTTCCGAAATAAGGTCCCATGGGGCAGAAGTAGATGGGCGTGACTTTGCCACTCTATTAAGCATTGGAACCGGCTGTGAAATGGTGACGCAGCTTCAGTCCTTCGACTTCTAATTGGTCAAGGCTCGTTTTGGAGCTCAGCTCCGCCCAGAGGAGCGACACTCAGCCAGAATCCGCCGCTTATTGGAGGAAAATCCTTTAAAAAAGTGCCGCCCTCTGCTGCGAACCATCCCGCGCTCCTCTAACATATAAAGGAGGGTTTCTTCGGTCCGATTAGTACTTTATTTTGTTCCGACTTCGAAAGTACATCTGAAAATGAGTGGAAGAGGCAAAACCGGCGGAAAAGCCAGAGCAAAGGCTAAGACCCGCTCCTCTCGTGCCGGGCTCCAGTTCCCTGTCGGCCGTGTCCACAGACATCTGAGGAAGGGTAACTATGCTCATCGCGTCGGAGCCGGAGCCCCCGTCTACCTGGCGGCTGTGCTGGAGTACCTGACCGCTGAGATCCTGGAGCTGGCTGGAAACGCTGCCCGCGACAACAAGAAGACCCGTATCATCCCCCGTCACCTGCAGCTGGCTGTCCGCAACGACGAGGAGCTCAACAAGCTGCTGGGAGGAGTGACCATCGCTCAGGGCGGTGTGCTGCCCAACATCCAGGCTGTGCTGCTGCCCAAGAAGACCGAGAAGGCCGCCAAGAAGTAAACTACAGGAACCATCCTCTCAAAAAAACCAACGGCTCTTTTAAGAGCCACACTCACCCCTAACTAAAGATCGCCTTCCTTTTATTATTTATAGTTTTATAAAGGTTTCATGGGGAATTCTCCTTCCATTATACATTAGAAATATCCCACTGTTCATCAATCATTCACCTTGTTATGATGGCCAACTGAAGGAACACATATCTACTGCACATTTAATTCCCACACAGATATGGTAGGCTACCATGTGCATTATTCTGATGTTTGAACTGTCTTGTAGAGCCACTCTGCTGGGACATAGACATTTAATACATTAGCTATATAATAATACCTGTCATTTATATAGCCGTTTTTCCCGATGCTCAACGCGCTTTCATATATAATTTTTAAATCTCTCGCTGTTCTATATATTACCACATGAACCAAAGAACATTAATTAACCTTCATAAATGCATTTAATGCAGTGCTAAAGGGTTGGAGTTCACTCATTTGTGTCTTATCTTTAACAATATATGAGTGATGAAAATGGGAATAATAAAACATTGTTACCAAAAAAATTGACAGTTAATGACTGAAGACATTTCCATAAAAGCTTGTCACTTTACTTAATCACAAAGCACTGCAACAGTGTTGCATTATTAACTTTATTTAAATATGGAAGTTTACATTTAAATGTCTTTAAATTAAATATCTTTAAAAAAGGTAAATCATACAGTCAGGAGAGAAGAGTCATAATTTGTTTTACTTGATTGGAGCAAAAATAATGCTCAGCATCAAAAACGCTGAAAAGGCGTTTAAGCTTATTTTTACTAAGTGTTTTCACGGCTCAGTCCAAAAATCAAGCACGTCTGAATAAATGCATGTGCTCAATTAAAATGATGAACAAGTTTGAATTATAAAAAAGACACTTCAGCAGAGGTGCTACTTGAGGTGGAAATACAGCCCACTAGAATAATTTAAATGAAAAAAACACATAAAATACCTACATAATAAATATATTGTTGTTGATTTTATAACAACATTTAAACATATGAATATAAATGTGAATAGCTATTTTACTATATGTTAAACTCATACCAGCGGCTACCAAACTACAGGGATAAGACATAAAAGGGGGGGGGGGGGTGCAGATCAAAGTACATCGTAGGCTCAGTCATGCGCAGACGATAACCAATCCCGTGCGAGCAACAGCACAGCAGTATTTGCATCGAGGGGATATAAATAGGCCGCGCTGTGTCTGTGTGGCACAGAGTCTGACCAACCTCACTCTCTAATCATGCCTGCAGACGCACCCCCCGTTAAAGCGGCCAAGAAGGGCTCAAAGAAAGCCGTCGCTAAGAGCGTCAGCAAGACTGGAAAGAAGAGGAGAAAGTCCAGGAAGGAGAGCTACGCCATCTACGTCTACAAGGTGATGAAGCAGGTCCACCCCGACACCGGCATCTCCTCCAAGGCCATGGGTATCATGAACTGCTTCGTGAGCGACATCTTTGAGCGCATCGCCGGTGAGGCCTCTCGCCTGGCTCACTACAACAAGCGCCGCACCATCACCTCCAGGGAGATCCAGACCGCTGTCCGCCTGCTGCTGCCCGGAGAGCTGGCTAAACACGCCGTGTCCGAGGGCACCAAGGCCGTGACCAAGTACACCAGCTCCAAGTAAACTCTACTGCTGATATACCAACAACACAAAGGCTCTTTTAAGAGCCACCCACTACATCTATAGACTTGTTCCTCTGTTTTGAATGAGTGTCATGCACGATCCATGATTCGCATACATGATATGTAAATCACTTGAAATACATATTTGATACGTAAACCGTTCAAAGAGGCCTTGTTTACACACCACTTTCCACAATGGCTCAGGCAAAACACAACTTGTGAATCATTTAAAGACTTTTTTTTTCTCTCGCAGTGTAAGTACAAATTATTAGCCGTAGAGACATGCCGTGCTTTACTTTCCCTTTATTTTTCATCTCAATGCAATATATCTGTCCAACAGCACCCTCTGGCTACAACAGGACACAACATGTGGTTATTTTCATATTTAATTTTTTTATTTTGGGTGTCATGCCAGACAACGCTAGGCAACCTTTTATACACCACTTCAATTAGAAGATTTTACTTTTATATTTTTAAAACTCATAAATTGTTTTGTCAATACATAATAGACATACACAAACCACTACATAAAAACATGTACACACGACACATAAATACATACTTAAACACAAAAGAACAGTATTTCTGACAGCAGAAAGAGAATAGTCCGATCAGCCTTTGTTCAATCACACACTCCGTATGCTCCATGGTAGTCTGTGACTTGTCGAGGCTTTTTCTTCTCCTTAGCTCGGTTCCGATATGTTTTGTTATGGTACAACTGTTAATCATTGTTTGATGTATTACCACGGTGCATCTGGTCTTCTATATCTGCATACAAGGGATGCAGAAGAAACAACTTGGGTGCTTTCAATAAGTGATAGGTTTTTTTATATAATATATCCACCATATTTGTATTCATTTATTTAAAAACAAATATATATATATATATTTGGAGGTCCATTTCATTTAACCCTTGTGTTATGTTCACATTTCGCACCCTCTGGTAATGTTCGGGTCAAATTGACCCGGGACATATTTCAGGGTTTAAAAAAAATACAGAACTAAATTCAACATGCACAATTCCTTATATATATTGTCTTTAACTCATTCCCCAACAATATAAATGAAATGTATGATTAGTTTTTGAAAATACTCTTTGCTAGATCAAATTTAACAATGGAAGTGTCCATTGTTTTTTGTGATAAAAATGTGTAATTTATGTAAAAAAAAATACACTGTAATAAAAACTAGGTTTACATTTTGCTCATGCTTTTCTAGGACAAATGTAAATTTAAAACAAATTCATTAATGTTTATTATTTGTAATCTGTCATATAATAAGGAAGCCTGACTGAATTATATAAACAATATTTAAAGGAAGACTTAAATGTGTTGAAAGATAATGTGGAGGCTGCAGCGTTGGCCCCGCCTAGCAGCTTTACCGCTCTCCGTCTTCTCTTAGGTCCGCAGTGAATATTTAAATACTGCCGGTCATGCTGCTTCTATCCATTCGTTCTGTACGAGCCGACATAACAATACCTGAAAATGAGTGGAAGAGGAAAAGGAGGAAAGGGACTCGGCAAAGGAGGCGCCAAGCGTCACCGTAAAGTTCTTCGTGATAACATCCAGGGCATCACCAAGCCAGCTATCCGCCGTCTGGCTCGCCGTGGCGGAGTGAAGCGTATCTCTGGTCTGATCTACGAGGAGACCCGTGGGGTGCTGAAGGTCTTCCTTGAGAATGTGATCCGTGATGCCGTCACCTACACCGAGCATGCCAAGAGAAAGACTGTGACCGCCATGGATGTGGTGTATGCCCTGAAGAGGCAGGGCCGCACTCTGTACGGCTTCGGAGGTTAGACATCTACACCCTGATATACCTGGAAAAACAAAGGCTCTTTTAAGAGCCACCCAAATTACTTAAAGAGTCTGTTTCCTTTCGATATCGGCAATATCACACATTTTTCAGTCGATTAACATCAAACCTGAATTCCATCTCCAAACAGAACTCTTGCTAGGATACTGGATATAAAAAATGTCACATATTGGACAATGTTGTTTATTTGACATCAAAGATGTTCAAAATGTTCTGTTTTTTTTGTTCAGTGTAGGAGGGTTCATTCAAAGACAGAAGGATAATGGTTGATGGCCAAAGAAAAAAACAACAGCATAGGGATGGGAGTAGCTTAAGAGCATCCGCATGAATAGTAGACAACACTAAAGTCAGTAGAAAATCTAACCAACATAGGAGAAAGTCTCAATAAATTGTCAAAACATTGGAATTAGAATTTGAAGATAGAAAAAAAGGAAAAGCCTGTTCACATCTTTGGTCCGGAGACTGGCCCAGGTTTTCATTCTCTTAGGAATGAAACTCTATGCACCAAACTCTGATCGCCTGCAGTGCATTTTGTGAACCAGATGAGACTCAGATTGCTACTGAACAGCTGAAGATTAAAAGTGTTGAAGAGATCCGTGTTCATATTCTAGCCCAAGCGTGGAGGTTTTGACTCTCACATACTCCACTGTATCTCAATGTTCTGCTCTTAAGCCACAGTATGTCATTTTAAACTATGCAGATGAATGTGGTGTGTGTTAGTAACAGTGTCCCTGTCTGTGGAATCCTCTGGATCTGAACTAATCTTCACCAGCAGATGTCAGTAACACACAGTTCCTCCCGGCTAGGAATAAGATATATATAATGAAAAAATTCAGACTTGAGACAGAAATAGCAAATGGTCCATCTTGAGGTGCTATATGACAGGTAATGTGTCAAATGTCAAATAATGTATTTTTGATTTTGCTGATGTTAACCAAAATGCATCCTCCAACCCCTCCAGAAAGCATCCAATAATCTCAGTGATGAACATGCCTCCATTGCTCATCACTGTGTAGTGTAGCTCACTTAAATGGCCTCCGCTCAATATAAGAAGACATATTCATTGGCTGCAACTCATATTCATATTAAAACTATCCACATTATCTACAACAGTTATTAGTAGCACAGGCATTCTACACAATGCTTTTACTCCACTCCCTTGATCCAAAGATCATTTATAGCCAGGGGTGCACATAACTGGTACGCAGGTACGCATGCGCGGCACAAATCTGAATTGCGTAACGTCACTTGTGTCACTACGCGCCTTTGCGTACCTCAAAACATCAAAACAAAACACATATTTCGTCTACACGTGTTTCTTGTCAACACTCAATGGAATAAACTACTAGGCATGTCAAAAAACCCAAAGACATTAAGCAGCTACGTTGCCGTTTCGCTCCCTGCAAAAAATCTTTCTCTGACTGATTGAACTGGAGCTGGGTGAGCCGCGCAGGACATAACCGACGGACCTGTGAAGCTTTCCAGGAGGCAGAGGCTTAGATCACTGGACGACAGAGTTGGTCGCCGTGTGCACAGACAGGGTTAACGTCGGTATAAACAACAGAATTGTGCCAAAAGTCCGCCAACTGGCTGCGGTGGGAGACTCCCCTGTGCACATTCTGTGCCCCGCGCACACACTGGAGAACTGCGCAAAATCATCTGATCACAACGTTCACGCTCTGTGGTCAAGCTGCTGCAGTTTTATTTACACCAAAGTGGAGTGAAACATACAGCTGCAAACTTACTCAGGGTGTTATGGAAGAGTTTGAAATCAGACAGAGGTGGAAGAAGTACTCAGATCTTGTGTAGGAATACTCTGTTACAGTAAAAGTCCTGCATTCAAAATGTTACTCAAGTAAAATTAGAAAAGTATTATCAAAATATAGTGAAATTAGCGACAGTAAAAGTATTCATTGTGCAGATTGGTCCATTTCAGAATAATATATATGATATGTTTTATAATGATTGATCATGAAAGTGTTCTCAAAGCTGGTAAAGGAGCAGCTAGTTTGAATGACTTTGTATACTGCAGGGTAGCTTGTGGATTTACTCCAGGTGGAACTAAAGTCTGATTTAACACTTGATTAGATTTCACATCATTCATCCACATCTGTAAAGTAACTAAAGGTATTAAATACATGTAGTGGAGTAAAAGTAGAAGTACAAAGTAGCATAAAATAGAAATACTCAAGTCAACTACAAGTATCTCAAAATTGTACTTGAGTAAATAAGTGTGCTTTGTTACTTCCCACATTTGAAATCAGATATGACTTCAAGTCATGTGATCATTTCTTAGTATTTGATCCTTCAACTTGGCCTCAGGAAATGCAAGGACTTCACAGTTTTGGCAACAAGTTTTGGAGAAAGCAAATCGGAGGCTTAAAAAGAGACAGGGAGGTGCATCTTCATCATCTAGCATGCAAGAAGTGTAAATTGAGGACAGTGAAGGAGACACTGAGGAGGACCACGCTTCGTGTGGGGTGAGTACCAAACGCTGTCTCTTGGTACTCATCTGAGTAACTCACTAAAAAAGTTATGTGCACCCCTGTTTATAGCACCTTCAGACTGGAATCATTTACCAGAAAACAACCCATGCTTAACTTCTTTTCTAATGTATAAAATGCTTGGTCTTCTTATTTGTAGGTGAATTGTACATGCTATTTATGATTTAATACGTACAAAACACTACGTTTGTATTTATTTTATTGCCAGTCAAACGTATTTGTTCATGGCCTCTCTGTGGCCATTATTGTTGTATTGTTTTAAGTGTCGGACCCCAGGAAGAGTAGCTTTTGTCAAAAGTTAATGGGGATCCTAAATAAACATAAACAGTGGTTATTTTCAAATGTGTAATCTCAATTTTGTATAATAATATTAATTAACTTTATTTACAGTATCGAGCGCCTTTCATGCAAGATGCAGCGCAAAGTGCTTTACAGAGTAAGACAGACTATAAACTCCAAAGGCGCCATAAAAACAGAAAGCAGCCTCCCCTTGTATAATACCTTCGGCCCTTCTAAAAGAAATGCATTAGAGGATCTGAATGTCCTTGTTATAAAATGAAAGGCACTTTAAAATCAATTCTGAAAGAATCCGGTAACCAGTGCAGTGATGCCAGCACAGGGGAAATGTGATCCCTATTTTGTGTGTTTGTTAAAATCCTGGCCGCAGCATTCTGAATGAATTACAATTTCTTTATTAAAGATTTTTTTGGGAGACCAGTAAAAAGAGAATTTCAGTAGTCCAAGCGACTAGTAATAAAAGCATGTACAACCATTTCAGCAGCAACAAAAATGGTCTGATCCTGGCAATGTTCCAAAGGTGGAAAAGTTTTAGCAACCTTGTTAAAACGGCTTAAAAAATGTATATCTCAGACTAAAATTAGTAACTTGTGTTATAATATATTTGGACATGCTGGAAAACACTGACTCTACTCTCTGCCGTTTTGATTTTAGACGTACTAGTAGAATTTCCTTTTCGCTAATTTATTTAAAAAAAAGTTATCATTCATCCAATTGTTTATCTCATTGAGACAGGTAAAAAGGTTATTTACAGAACCAGGGTTTTCAGGTGAAAGGGAAAGTGATACTCAACATTGTAATGTTTATTATGTAGCCCAGAGGGAGCATGAATACGGATTAGAGTAACATATTTACTATTCGTAGCTTTATTTAATTCTCTACATTTGAATTTAAATAAATGTGTTATCCTATGTTTTAATGTTTCCCATAATCTACAGGATTTTACCATCATCACATCCTGAGAAATTGTGGATTTTTTCACATTTTAGTATCACTAATTCTTATAAATATTTCCTTTATCGGATATGGAATTTTAAGTTCTCTTAACCTATTAAGCCCGAGAGACCCCGGTACCGGGGCACTGCCGCAACATCTTGCAGGAAACAGTGTCTGAGGGCATGTTCATTTAATAAACTATGAATGTTTTATATCCATGTAACGGGAAGAAACTCATCTAACTGATCATTTTTATTTTGTTTTCAAAATAAAACCCACAATGAGCCTCTGAATTAGCAACTGTCTGTTTATCTATCTATCTATCTATCTATCTATCTATCTATCTGTGATATCCATCTATGATATCCATCTATTTATCTGCCTGTCTGTCTGTCTGTCTGTCTGTCTGTCTGTCTATCTATCTATCTATCTATCTATCTATCTATCTATCTATCTATCTATCTATCTATCTATCTATCTATCTATCTATCTATCTATCTATCCATCCATCTATCTATCTATCTATCTATCTATCTATCTATCTATCTATCTATCTATCTATCTATCTATCTATCTATCTATCTATCTATCTATCTATCTATCTATCTGTCTATCCATCTATCTGTCTATCCATCTATGATATCCATCTGTCTGTCTGTCTGTCTGTCTGTCTGTCTGTCTGTCTTGTCTGTCTGTATCTATCTATATATCTATATCTATATCTATCTATCTATCTATCTATCTATCTATCTATCTATCTATCTATCTATCTATCTATCTATCTATCTATCTATCTATCTATCTGCACCTGCAGAGTACAGGACTTTATACATTGTACATATTATATCAATCCTATAATATTTGTTTCTAACATATAATTTGAAAGTGCTTAAAACAAATGTGGGATATTCATTTGATAAAAGTAATTGACAAAGAAATTCACGATTGTCATATTTTATTATGTAGGATACAGAACTGGACTGTAGTCAAGTAAACGTACTTACACATTCTAAATACGTGTTCTTTGCGTCAGTGTTTCGATGTTATATTTTATAACCATATCAATTATTCAAACAATTAAAATACATGCCCTACCGTTGATTGTGCACACTTTTGCCTGAAATGAATCTGCCACTGCCAGGCCCACGCACAGTCAAGTAATTATATTCTTTCATCTGATTTAACCAAATGCTGATAGGTTATAGCTACTGAGTGTTCTAGTTTTACTCATGCAATAATACATAACACAAAAACACTGCAGCCAGTA